GTTGATCATGCATCACATAAAGAGGGACTCATTTTGCTCACATATTAAGGGAGGCAAATCTTTTATTGAACGGTTTTAAGTTTGGGTTTGGTAATTCGTTATAATGCTAAAACAACACATAAACTTATGCTTGCAGGTGATAGATAAATAAGAACATTCATACATCTCATACATATGTACAGACGACAGACCTGCACATACAGACAAAATAATAAGCACACGACCTATTAATTTAAAAAGTGAAACTTTGTTAATTTTTTAATACACCTTGGACTCATTTATCAGAGAAAGTATATTCATTTATTAGAGAAAGTTGACATGTATCAAGGGAGGTAAATCGTACAAAAAGTTGGATTTTAAATTTGCATCAGTTTCATGACTGCCAAAAGGTGGCGCTCTACAGTTTCGTATTTAGCATAGGGTTAGAATTTTAGAGAAAAAGAGTTTCCCCGGGTTTCCTCGCTAGTTATACTGGCTATTTAAAAGAGACTTTGTATATCTTTGGTATACAAAGAACCTTTAATTCCCTTTAATTTGATGTATGATTGATGGGTGTAATATGGGTTAGAGAGTATACAGCTTGGAGATGTGCACCTTTCAATAAAGTGTTAGCAATACTTGCTCATTTTTACTTTTCGAACTTCATAGGTAAATTATAAAAAAAAAATAACAAAAAAATAGAGCCCATAACTTTTTTACATTTTATGTATTTGGTAATTCATTCATTCCACTCTTAGAAGCTGGTATTGTCTGGTTTGGCAGAATTCATTTTCCATATTTTAATAGCTGCCAAGAATAGTGTACTTTAGACAAATTCAGGTTGATTTTTGGAGCACAAGGAAGCAGTCATTTTAGTTATCAGTGTACTAAGATCATTTAAAATTTCCAAAAATACAATATCCAAATAAATTTTATCCACAGTTCTTAAAAGTAGTATATAGATATCCCAATATTCTCTCCACTATGTATGTTTAATTTGCAAACAACTTCATCTTACATACATCACTCTCTCAAAAGTACATCATAACTGGTGAGTGCCACCAAAAACAGTCCAATATATTTAACCAGTTTCATACTTAACTGTAAAACATTTTGCATGCATGTTTTTTATTGGACTATACAAAGAGACAGACACAGAGACAAAATACATACATATAATTATTATAACACCTAGGCAATTTATATACTGCTGTAAAACCTCAGATCTCAGCTACATTTTTTTTATAATAATAACATAAATATATTAAATTTAGAAACCATACAAACAAGCATAGAGTCGGATGCTTTGGATGAGCACATAGGTATATATATATATATATATATATATATATATATATATATATATATATATATATATATATATATATATATATATATATATATGCGTGCGTACATACATTACATATATACATACATTTATTTTAGGAATTAGGGATGTTATTTTTTATTACGTATTTGGACTTATTCATATCATAAAGCTGTACTGTTGTTTTGCTCACATATCAAGGAAGACATTTTATGAACGGTTTTAAGTCTGGACTTGGTCATTTATTATCATACTTATTAAAACAAGACATAAACTTATGCTTGCTTTATAGATAAATAATTGCATGCATTCGTCTTATATATATATATATATATATATATATATATATATATATATATATATATATATATATATATATATATATATATATATATATATGACAACGCAATTTTGCCACGTCAGGACTGTTCGTGGACCTGTATATCCTTGGATCTAAAATTTATTCGAAACTTTTCATTCTTGTGGACTTTAATATAACTTTTTCATGATTATTTTCGATTCAATTCGTAATACTGTAAGTTCCTTTTTAGTTTTAATTTTATAAGACATAATTAAATTGTTTTGTAAGTTTTACAACTTTTCTCGGTTTTGCATCTTTCAGTTTAGTTTATAACCATGAATTCATAACATTATGTGCTGGTCATAACTATTTTCTAAATGAGACAAAACTGCATCGCAATAATTGGTGCTTGCAAATGTGTAAAGTAAGAACATACTCTAACAATGTTCTCCATAATATGAAGTAAGAGGTATAACGGTACCAATTGTACAACCCCAGGTGGGCGCAGCTTAAGGTGTAGGAACATTGCATTCAGAAATAAACAACAAAACTAACTGTGATTGGTGCATTATCTAAGAGTTGTACTTTCTGTTAGGCTTTAAAAAAATTGAGCCTCTTGGCAACATATGAGATTATGTTAATTCTTATCTAGATCACATTTTGTATTTAAGTTTTTTTTTAAAAATGTGGTACACATGACTGAAAATGTGTCCGGTGTAACTAGCTAACTCTTACCCCTGTCTAGTTCAGGCAGAGTTATCTCTCTTAAATGCAATGATGTACATATTTTCGCTGTTATCAAATAAGCAATCTAACATTGTTCTCTGTGACAGTGTGTGACATGCATGCTGAGGTAGGATAAAAAGAATATTTATTTCGCAAAACATTGGCATTACAATCTAAAGAAAAACAATTGGTACCGTGATACCAAGAGTGGAAATCCAGCTGGATATTAGCTTAATGAATTAAACACAAACACACACGAACACACCTATACACAACTAAACTGCAAGATTGTCTGTTTCGTCGTTATCAATAATTACTGAGCATTTGCTCAATTTTGACCTTGTTCGAACTTTTCTCTTTTTCCCAAAACGTACATGTATCTTGGGTAATTGAGTACTTCGCACGTAAATTATACTTGTCCTGTTTGGTTTTCCAGATACAAAGTGACATCCACTGTGATTTAAGATTCGACTATTTAGGAAATTGATAGAATCCATAAGTGTTATTAATTCTACCTTTCTGTGGTTACAAACGTACACTGAACAATGATTGTGCCCGCCGGTTTTCATTCAACTTGAATAATATATAGTTCAACAGTTTTGACTTGACGTGTTTACTGGTGCGCTTCATAACGAAATAAAAGTCTGATGAAACGTTTCTAAAGCTCCTTGCATTTCAAAGTCTGATATAATCTTTCTAAAGCTCCTTGCATTTCAAAGTATGATGAAATCTTTCTAACGCTTCTTGCATTTCAAAGTCTGATGAAATCTTTCTAAAGCTCCTTGCATTTCAAAGTCTGATGTAATCTTTCTAAAGCCCCTTGCATTTCAAAGTCTGATGAAATCTTTCTAAAGCTCCTTGCATTTCAAAGTCTGATGAAATCTTTCTAAAGCCTCTTGCACAGTAGTCGTCAATTATTAAAGATATTTCATTAAATTAAAACAAAAAGAAAACAAAATTATTTGTTTCCTAGGTCTAAATTCATATCATAAATTATGATCATATTTCGAAAAGGGCATTTTCAAGACTGACTGAAGACCCAGTTGGGCTTCATAACGAAATAAACTATCCAGTAAAGATTTGATCTAGAAAATTATGCTGCATGCACTATTTAAAAGCACTGTATAGTAGTAGAGATAGACTGGTTTAAACTGTACATCAAAATACAAGAAAGCAGTTTAATGATGACTCGTGAAAGAATTATCTGCAAAACTGTGATCGATAGTAGTCCTGCATTTAAATTGCTTGATAAGGAAAATCAAGAATAACGAACTTTTTCCGACTAAAAATCAGTTTATACAGGAGAATTAGGTTTCTTATAATTTTTATCCTAAATAAGGTCGTATTTGCTGAAGCAGATTTGAAAGCGTGGAATCAAAAAGTTGATCTACATCTAAACAGCATGTGGAGTATTACCGTTTGCAATTCCTTACAGCATTACATTGACTCGTTTTGGACAAAATATTACATTTACCAAAAACACTGAAATTTCCGAGTCCCGAATGGAAAATAACACTACCAAGGCATTCTTTTTGACACCACGACAGAATATATTTGCAAATTATGCAGCCTAATTTATATCCGTCTTTGATAGTAGCCATATCATTTACCATCCTCTCTGGTAGCATAGTGACGTTATCTGGGTAAATCATGAAAGCTGAAACTGTAACCAAGTATCAATTAGCGTTGTTGTTGTAGATTTTAAAGCCATTTTTCAGCAAAAGATAGCCTATACATGGTGGCCAGTATAAATGGTGGAGGAAGAACCGGGGAAAAGCCCGGAAAGAACGAGAAGCTACTGGCAAACTATCTCACATATCCTCATTGTCTGAATCTGAGACTCGAACCCATGCAGACAGAAGTGATATGGCAGCGATCCGTAACGATGAGCGCTTTAGACCACTCGGTGCTCCTCATCAATTAGTGAACACCGACATAGTGTATAGTTCATGTATCAAATAATGTTAGGACATTAAGAAGGGGATAAAAACAATACAAGTCAGAAAAACGTAAATCAATACTCTTCTTCTTTCCCATATAACCTTTCATGACAGTGTCATGAGTTTCGTTTCTTAATATAATTGCTAAATTTGGGGGTAGTATTCAAAAATCGCGTTATAAACAAAACTAAAGTATTTTATTTGCACGAGTCATGAAAAAATCCAATTAGCTGCCTGAATGGGTTTTTATGTAAGAAAGGTTCAGGTCTTTCAAATCAAATTTAATTATATTATTATTAGTAATTATGAATCTGAACTGCATAAAACTTACTGGAACTTGTAGGCACAAGAATGTGGAGAGAATCAAGATCATATTAGGAGAAAACATTATCGGATAGGAGTAAAGAACAATTTATTAGTTACGAACTCCTTCCCGTACCGCATAAAAGTCACGTATATTCGTGAGGTTTGGTTTTGTTGTTTAACGCGTATTTTCAGACATGATAAAAACATGGTAGGCAGTATATATAGTATAGGAAAAACCCATAAAAACCTGGGAAATATCATAGACCAACGGGTAGCTTATGGCAAACTTTAACACATATCCATGTTAACCGAACCGATATTTGAACCCACTCCGACAAAGATGAGATGTAAGTGATGTGTAACTGCAAGCACCTAATACCATTCAGCCACGCAGTTGCCCATAATCACGAATAGACATGACCGCTCCGGTGGCCTAGTGGTTAGAGCGTCTGCCTCGGATGCGGAAAGTCGCGGATTATACCCGGGCCGAGTGGTACAAAAGACTTTTTAAAATGGTGCTCAAGCTGCCTCGCTTGGCGCTCAGCATTAAAAAGTTTTTGTTAGAACTTGTCGGCCTGGTGTCAGAATAATACGACTGTGTGGGACATCTTGCTACATGACTGCGGCATGATGCCCCACTGCTGGACAATACTATAAACAGCCATACCGTAGCGATATTTTTATGATAAGAATTGTCTGATGTTGTTTTTAAACGTTTCTATCATAACCTTCTTCTCGTGTCTAATTACGAGAAGGCAGGAAGTTCAGCATTCATAAGAATAAGGTGTCACTTATAATGGTGTAGATACGGTTACATCTTTTTGTGGGGAATGCTTGGCTGCGAAGAGGTGGGATCTCTGTAAGAAATAGACATGATACTTCTAGAGCCTGGAATCGTACTTTATTGACATATATATATATATATATATATATATATATATATATATATATATATATATATATATATATATATATATATATATATATATATATATATATATATATATATATATATATATATATATATATATTCTAAAGATACAACATGTAAATTTATTTATGTTGAAAATACATACAATACATATTACAATACGTATTAAATAGTTCTTCCACAATCTAGTATTTCATTTGTCCATTCATTTTTCTGTATTTGTGAATACAAGTGATTTAAATATTTAAAGAGCCTAAAATTCAATAACTGTAATAAATGTATTTTATTTTATTTATTGTAAGGTAAAGACCTGAAAAAGATCTGTGAATGTTATACTTATTATTTAAAGAATATATATTTATTCTCAATTAAATTATAACATGAAGCTAGTAATTATTTCAAACAAATACTAATGAACAGCGAAGATGTAAAATATTTCATTACATTATGATTGTGGAAGAAGGGAACTCAATAATATTATATTATAAATACAATGAACATCAATTTAGTAAAATATTAAATCAGTAAAATCTTTCATAGTAGAAAAGAGAACTCACTATTACATTATATTAATGAAATAAAAATACTTCAGAAGAATACCACAACTCACTATAAAATCTTTAACTTCCAAAAGCGAGTATAAAGAATTAGTTTCTTACCTGTAAGAAATAGACATGATACTTCTAGAGCCTGGAATTGTACTGAAAATAACCAGTCCAGTACCTATTTTTATATCCTGGAACTGGTAATTAACAGCGCTTCATCCAAGGTCAAAAGAAGTCCGTCTAAAAAAATCACGCGTGGTTCTTGCGTGCTTTCCAAGGAGAGCTTTAACTTTATATCAAGTTTTAGTGTGTGGGGGGTAGAGTGTGAGTGTGTGGACGGTATAGCTCCAAGTAACGACCTTTTGGATCATGTCCATAACCTTCCAGTGGTCATTCACATTGTGAACTTAATTAATTTAATTATTCCCTAGGGTGATTATCAATTACTTTGTTCCCAACATCACACGAAATTTAATAAGGTTTTATTGATTGAATGGTGAGATAAAACATTATTTCGCTTCTATCCGATTGTTGAACTATTGAACTGGCTTATTAATTAGGCTTTTTCCATTACCAAGTGAAAGCTGAACAATAATAAATGCTTAATCTAAATTCATTTCAATGTCCTTATTATATTCAGGATATGAATTATTGATTGGAGCACGCTTCTCCTACACTCCAAATAAATATCAAAGCACTATCTTAAATTTGGATGTTTTTATCTTCCAATAACTAGAGATTTCAATATGTTGTACACAAATTAATATTTTCGTTTCTTTCTTTTAGAATTGATATCTTGATAAATACCTCTTGGTTAAATTAGCCGAGACCTCGAGGCTAGTAAAAAAAATTGATAAGTATACGAGGAAGAATAAAGAAAAAAAATATTAAAAATCAAAAATTACAATGCTTAGGTAGATGAAAAATTACAATGCATTGGTAAGTTGATAAATTGCAAAAAGGCAATGAGAACAATGTTCATTGCAGTACATATTGTGAAATTCAAAAAAGAATACAATAAAATGTATAATAATCAATAAACTGTAAGGTACGTTGACAATGCGTCAAAATACATATGATAAAAGATACATAGAAAAATGTACCATAAAATGTGTAATAAGGAGTCAATATAAATTGAAAAGTGATGACAATTACACAAGGAAGTAAAAATATGAAAAAGACCAAAATACAATGCACTGACAAAAGTTAAGAAATAGGAAAAACAATTTCCGTGTAGTACTTCGATGAGGAATGAAGAAAAACAATATATTAAGAAAACATTAAAATATGCAATGTGACAGGATAATACGTAATGTGACATCTGTATGGTAAAGAAAGAGTTTATTCAAAGGAACCATACGAAAACACAATTGACACATTCAATGAAATTCAAGTACAATAGTGAGAAGTACAATGAAAACACTCATGACAATAGTGAATGAATTTTAAGGGTATAATAGTGTAAATTACAACGAAATTCCATGTGACAATATTCAATAATATCAAAATTTCAAGAGGAAAAAATTACAATGAAATTACATTTGATAATATGCGATAAATGTTAAAATTACAAGAGGAAAATTTATCATGAAGAAAAATTGTCGGCACGACATTGGAAAAAGAGAACTGAGATGCAATCCCCCCCAAATTCTATTAATATTAGGACTGTCAAAGAGAAGAAGAAGGAAAAAAAATTCTACATTATCTACCCTATGACTAGTCCCGCCAGACGATTGTCGTCATGACTGGAGAAAAGTCCAAACGGTTTCCGTCATAGACTTGTCATAACTAGAAACATATGCATGTAAAGAATGTATTACCCACCAGGAACATCAACCTTTTATTGTTTGGAGGTAGTTTTAGACTCTAATAGTGCCAAGTAGTCCGGCAATGCCGTCCGTTGAGGAAACATTTGGATTCGACCTGGGAAGCGAAGTTGAGGGCGATAAGCAGTGGGCTGGTCGCGCTCTTGGCGGTGCTGAGTGCACTTAGGGCAATTACAACCGGGCCTTGCTCGCTTCGCCAAATATTCCTCGAGATTATGAGCATCTCGGTATATCTTTTTAAACCTATGAAAAGGAATGTTTGGGTCTATTATCATTGTAAGCGGTAACACGGCGTTACAAATATACAATTCGGCTAGAACAGGGTAACCTTTACGGTGTAGTTGATAAAAGAAACCGAGCATTTGAGGAATCAAATCACAAGAGGGTATACGACCTGATAATAGTCGAGCAAGTGTTTCTTCAGGGAAACGAAGGTAATCCGCAATCCGAATGATGTGAAATAAGGAGTTAGGGTTGTCGTACAATGTCGTGCCTTTATCAATTGAAAAGAATAAATGCTTAGCAATTGAAGTGTCAAAGTCATAATATATTCTATGTGACAAGCCATCAGCCGTAAACATATGTAATGTCTTCTCGCGATATTCTAGTAGTCGCTGCAACACTGGTGAAAGGGCAACCACCTTTTCGAGTACGGGGGACCGTAGAACAATAGATTTGTTCGTACCGAAAAGTAATGTGATTGACCCTTCCATTCTCAACCCGGATCCTTAGCTGATTTTGATTTATAAAAATCTTGTTTCGTAACCAGTAAATGTCTCCCGCCACACGATTTCCCCCCCCGGGTATATGTCCAATGCTACAGCGCTAATTGCATGACAATGTTAATTTGGAAATGGACACACCGTACGATCCCCTTTGGGTACGTGTCCGATACTGTAGTGCTAATATTGATAAAGACACAACAATGTAACGTATGGCCTGTTAAGGTTCTTTGCAAGGTAGTGGATTCATTAAACGCCATTATCATACCACACTTGGCACTATATGATATTGAGCACACATGTTCTCTATAAGTGGAATATTACCTCCAAGTAAAAAAAGAAAAGATAAAAAAATTATTCTGAAGGTAACAACCAAGAATGTGTGTATAAATGTATGCTGGTATTTAAGATAAACTGGTGTATGGTGGCAAGGAATGATGTTTATGAAGAGTGAAGTCTGAAGAATCATTGCCCGAGCATTGAAAAAAGGTAATATTATGGTGTGTCCAAACGATATGAGCAGAAAACGAGCGACTGAGAATTGAACGAAGCTTGTATGCAGATACAAGGGAAATGGAGAATGAGGTTGGTATAGATAGGTCAGAGTGACTATTGACTTGGGTTATTATAAAATCAGACCAGCGGACATGTAATCGTGGTCGGAGATAACCAGTAACATGCAGGTTATCGATCATTGATGGGCCAGTGGTGTGCCAATATGAAGGGCAGAACTTAAACTGAAAAATATCAACCATGACGCATTGAAGTCCAGTAGTAATTTCAAGGCGGAGTTTGGTACATGCATTAGACTGTGAAAGCCATTTATAAACGTGGGCAAGAACAATTATGAACGTCAGGAATGAGACTGAAAAGACGAGATGATCCCAAGTAAGAACCTCAGAAACAGTAGTAAACCAATCAGGAAGAGGAGTTGTGGATGCAATAGTGTACTGGAAGCGAACTGTAGCTTGGGCATCGGTTGCATGTGTGAGTAACATTGCGGAAGATAGAATTCGGAAACGCCACATAAGCCAAACAATTGCTAAAGCGTGCAGAATAGACAAGACGAAACTAATCAAAACCATAATATGTAGTAAGTCAAACCAAGAGTCATTAGTGATTGGAAGTTCACCACTTAACATCGTTTCTGCTAAAGACGAAAAGATTCGTTGATCATTCTTAGCGCGTGCAGCTACTTTTTTTTAGGTTTAAATCAATTTTCTTATCCGTTGCAAAAATATGGGACATGTGGTGTTCGTATAATTTAAATTCAGGTAAGGAAATGGGGAGGGACTGTCAAAAGTTGTATTGCCCATAATAGTTCTTAAATGTGTAGAGTTAAAAAATTGCTGTAGAAGTGCAAGATTAACTGGATGAAGTCGGGTAACGTCTGTTGAGTTGTCAGAACAAGTGGTAATGTGTCCGTCATAAGTTAAGGACGGAGTGAATACTGTACAATGACAGGGTATA